TACAGATATGCTGAGGCCCCGCGACCTAGGCTCGCACTCGAGGGGGTCTCAGCAAACAAACCATCACGCGGGAGAGGTGTATAAAAAGCCAGGAGAGCACCTGACGGCCCTCTCGCTCTGTGCAGAGGCTAGGGGGCTCTTCCTGCAAGATTGCCGAGACCCAGTGACCCGAACTCGCATTCACGGGCCCATCAAGCACGATAAAAGTCCTTGCTCAAATGGGAAAAAGCCCCTGGAGGAATAAACCCACTCCTCCAGGGCCTCGGGGGCTACACCCGGCGGGTGCGCTCGCGCGCACCCACCAGAACCACCAAGTATAAATCACGATCCTGACAGGAGCTATTGCAAACCAAGGCTCGTCAAAACCTCAGGAGAGTGCCCGCACTCCTCCCGAGGCTCGGGGGCTACTGTCGGATACCACAAGAAGGGGTACCCGAAGCAAGAAGCAAAAATGTTGCTTAAACCTTGCAAAAATCAAAGCCAAAAGACTACCGCCAGGTCTCTATAGAATTCTCTGATTCGCTCGAGGCCTTGCGCCGAGGCCTCATACGAAAGGCCAAAAGCGCCCCGCCGAGGCCCTCTCACCGAGACCCTCTCGCCGAGGTCTCACCCCGAAAGGCCTCGGATGGGATGCCAATTCTCCGATTCGCTCGAGGCTGGGCTCGGTAAACATACTCGTAACCTCTGTCCCAACAAAACTCCTCTGACGAAATGTCACGTCCAGATTAATGCACCCAACTACTCCCGCAAACATCAGCCGCACTCAGGTACAGTACGAGCAGAACGACCAACGGGACAGGGGACCGGGCGCAACAGGGGTTACCTGCCACTTTGCTCATCACTATGCTACCTAACCCCTGTGCCAAGGACAAAGCAGCATGGAAGGTCAAGTCCATGTCCCTGTAGTCTTAGAAACCGCAGGAGAGCCCAACTGCTCGTTCTACGCCTCATCCGAGACCCCCCGGCAGGGTCTCAGACGTACTATTCCTTCTCCGCCTCGGCCGAGGCCGGGCTCGCCCCTCATCCTCATCGTCTCTGCCTCAACTGCCCCTCTGGCGGGCCGTCCCATCCGTGTAAGTACCCCTAGTTGCGCCTACGTCAGCCATGATTCGCAGGGCATAGCAACAGGGGCGATGGGACGGCAGTCAAATCTCCTTTTTTACCATTCCCCACTAACGGTGTAGGGACTACCGTGCTTTGCGAACACACGCCCTGCACTTTTCCACCTAAACCGGGTACGACCCTGACCACCAAGACCGTCGCATCGTACTCAGGTCACCTCCTAGGCCTCGACAAATCCGGCCTCGGCGCGGTCGGCCACAAACACCTGCCAGGCCTCGGCGAACCACCAAGTCAAAAATTCACAAGGCATGTCATGTCACCTACAGAGGAGGCCATGCTGACTAAACGTCAACGAGGACCCCTATGACTTCAACAGCCTCAGGCATGGCCAGCATGATGCACCAGTGATCAAGTACCAATTGCCATTCCCAACCTTTGTCTGCTCAAGGTGAATAGGCCACAAGATCGATCTTCCTTCCTCGCTAAGGCTCCACGTGTAGCTCTCTCATGTACTCCTGGCTCCCTCCTTGTGGGTATAAAAGGAAGCAGCCAGGGCCGTTTCTATGAATCGAGACCACGTCGGCCCTCACGCGCAAAACGCACTCACTCAATTCACGCACGCTCCCACGCTGCCTGAGAGCAACGACTCAAGCAGCCCGCACCACTCCACACCAAGACCTGGGACTAGCTCCCTCTCTCACCCAGTTTGTAACCCCCCTACTACAAGCACTTCAGTGCAAGAATACAAGATCGATCTCCTAGACTGGACGTAGGGCACCGATTGCCTGAACCAGTATAAACCTTTTGCATCACCATCTGGGATTAGGGGCACGCAGTTCACATTTATTGGTTGGTTGAGGACCCCGGTCCAAACACCGACTGTGGGGCTTTTTTCACAAAGCCGCTGCAGACGTGGGCCTCCTGCCTTGGGCTATCGCGACACTGCAAGCACCGCGCTGCCATTTGGCCATCGGGTCTCATTGGGTGAATGCTTGCCACCGGCCCTTTTTGTTTTCTAAAGCATTTTCTATTTTTGTTTCTAAGGTAAACTTGTAAATTCAATATAAAATTATGTAGTTAACAAAAAATTATGAAACTAATTTTGTTAGGTTTCTAAAATCATGATCTATCTGCTAGTATATTTTATTCACATAGTTTTATAATATTTTCTAGAGTTATCTAATTAATTTGATATGCCTAATATTGTAAGATATAAACTTGTAGGGATTGTCGTGATAAATTGGTGATAGTGTTGGCTCTAAAACTTTCAAAGAAAATTTTTCACATTATTAGGTGCTCACTATAATTTTTGTAGCTTCATAATAATTAGTTTGCTAAGGTAGCTAATTGAGCCCTAGTTCAAAAATAATGTGTCTAATCAATAAAATGTCAAACACTTTGGGATTTTAGAACTAAAACATTTTCCCGGGAGGCGAAGCCTTACTTGATGACGTAGATACGAGACTAGTACGTTAGTCATTAAAGCTAGCTCGTTAGCTTGCGCAGAGCATAATCGTATTTTTAAGAGTTGCAGATTATCGTTGATTAATTGCGTCTCACGTTGCATCCACGATATCATAATAGGAACAACGATGGATCATAGAGTCAACTAAAGTAACGGAAAAGATGGTGCCTTGATGATCGTGTCATCAGGGGAATGCTAATCCTTGGTTATATCTTGCCCAGGCAAGTTCCGGTGCATAACCCTTTTATTTTTAGATAATCACTATTTATATATGTTATGTGCATTTATGATACAAGAATTTTATGAAAACCACCGCATAAATATACCTATCCTATGAGTCCTACTAGTACACAGTTCGAGTAGTATTTTGCTATGCTTAGGTTTTCGGTAGCACAAGTAACCTGCCGTTACTCATAATATGTGATTATTATTACTACTCTCATAATAAAATGATAAAAGGAAAAATGGAGATAGGGCTTAGCTTAGTCACACTGTTTTCCCTGCTCATGTCGATTAAGGACCGTCCGTTGTTGTGGATGGTAGTTAGGTCACAGACTTATTATCCTGAGCACATACATGCTTATGAAAGCGGGAAGGCTCGTTACGCTCTTGTCGTGGGTTCCAGCTCTTTCCGGACCGACTGATTGGAGGCGGAAAAAGGTAGAGGTCTAAGCACCATACTAAGACCGGGTCTCAAGTGTGGGGCTTAGAGTCCAAGTTTGAATGGGGACCTAGACCCCGTGACAGGAGTGGAATGTGTTGATCTTATTTGTGCTTGGGGTACAAACGGGGCGTGTATTTCAGGGTATCTAGCTGGGATACATTGATTTGCGAATCGCTTTGAGACGGTACGACTTGGCTATGGTCTAACACCATAGTAAGAACTGGAATATGAAAGATGTTAAAATGGTTCTGATTGCTCACCACCTGCTTGTAAGTAGCATAAGAGCTTACATAAAATGGATAGTCAATGAACTAATGATGACTGCTAATAAAATTTAATATAAGGACGCACATTTAGTAATGCTTCCATAGATGCAATAACCTACAATCTAAATAAGCCTTGCATATCCTTGGAGTCTTTTACTTTCCTCCGGTCGGATAAGTCTTGCTGAGTACAATCGAGTACTTAGGATTTTATTCCCTCTGTTGTAGGTGATCGGAGGATACATAGAGCTGACCCTTGTGTGTGAAAATCTCCTGGTGGGCTCAGAGATGATTCCTTTCATGCCACGACCGTAGTGTTTATTTATAATCCTCACTAAAGGTTTTTTATAAGAAAAGATGTAAAATCTGCTAGCATCTCTTGTATAAAAATGTCCACTATGTTAATGCTCCATCGTATTATTAAATTAATCTTTGCTTTCTCTGTAACTTTGATAACATTGTTATATTCCGCTATTATAAACAATTGAGATAATATTCTACTATTGTAATAAAGTGATGTAAGAAATGACTTAAGAATGTTGTAAGCTTTATTCTCTCATTTATGATCCTGATGGAAAAATGTGGATTATCGAGTTCTCCCTTAGGGTGTGCTCGACGGAACTGCGTAGTTTAGTGTCATCTCTTGAGTACTTAGTGTCTAAGTACTCTTGAAAGACATTAGATTAGGCGGTTCTGCCACATCGGTCATGTATAGGTGTGGAAGCCGCGTCCAGATGCGGGTCACGGACGGACGCCGTGCCGTATCATTATTGTTAGACAACCTATATCTAGTGCTTAGTTATCATGAATCTACTCTTGTGCCCCTAGAAAGCTGCAATTGTTGCACTCTGTAATTTGTCTTCTGCATGGAACATCTGCACGGCCTACCATGGCGGTTTGCAAGCCCTGATCCACATGCAGGCACGTAGGCACTCACTACACCACAACCCCAGAATAGCGACGTACCATCGGTCGCTATAGATCGATATAGCGACGTTCCATTGGTCGGCGTAGATCTATGCCGACACTTAGCTAGAGTCGCTGAAAGTGGCGTCGGTATAGCCTATACCGACCGACACGTTTTTAGCGACCGACGGTCTGACGCCTTAGAGGCTATATATACCGACACATAGTTTGAGGCTATAAATACTTTTAGCAACTAACAGTCCAACGCGAATCATTCATATAGAGACAATATATATGCTGCTGGTCAGCAGTACATAATGAAACCCAAATTATCTATTGTCAACGCACAAACGTTCAATACAATATACATTAACCATACATACAAGGACATTGATTAATATGAGCATAAAACATTGACAATAGATTCATTCATATATGAGTAGCCCAATGTAAGGTCGGTCAGATTCAGCATCATAAGTACAAGATACATTAGAAGCTCGCAAACATGAAGTTTGTGCATGAGCAAGCCATCAACATCCCTACATCTACCTCATGTGACCAAAAGTCATACAACATCTACCTCATGCAACCAAAAGTCATACATCCACCACTTGTGACCAAAAGCTTAGCTCACTAACACCTAAAGCCACTTCAACCACTCAACTGTCCATGATTGCCCTCCAGGCTCACCAGGCCCATCTTTCTGCAAAATGCAATGACAGGAACACCTCAGTACTGGTTAATTGAAACTAACCATTTTCACAACCTGCCTGGTAATGAAGTTTGCAAAGAAGATAGTCTGGGTATGAGAAGTGAGAAGAACAGAAGTTTCATTTGTCAATTAAAAAAACATCAAGAGGTGGAGAATAGTACAATACCAAGAATACTGGCTATCAGGTAAGTTTTTGCGTCTTGATTATGTTCTGTCACTAAACGTAGCAAAAGGAGACAGACTATAGAAGTTATCAAGTCTTATCAAGTAACTCCACTGTAAGGCAAAGAACCCCAGGAATTCTAAGTCACAACATGATAGCAAAGTGTGTATTCTGTACTCAAAATACAGAATAATGGATAGCGTACGGTTCGAGCATACCCAAAAACTCCATATTATTGAAAATAACCTATTGTTTCTTATTTAAACTGAAGCAAATAGAACATAAAAACATACGGTATATTTTGTTTCTGGTTTTCCCCAGCCACTCCGGTCAGGCCTTGCTCTTCCAAGTGTATGTGCTCCAGATAGTGCAACAATTTCCTGCACAAATGCCCCGGAAGTTCAATGACATAGCTCAAGAAAATACAGATAGACAGTTAAGTTTCAAAACCCGCCACACCTTGTCATCAAGGCCCATTCTATAGAATACCTCCCTAAGGTGTTCAGCCGGATCACGTGGGCCAGCGTCTGCAGAACATGTGCATTAGCAACAATTTAGTTTGATACCTCTCATAAGTCACATTTCAAGCATTGAACAAAACAAAAAATGAGACATTGGTATGGAATGAAGAACCCATTGGAAACACTGACCAGGAAGCCTCCCTTCAGGTGGACACTGCTCAGCTGCTGTGACATCAACCCGCCCATATTTCATTGGAATTTTCGGGCCACCAGCTTCCTGTATTATGCGATTGACCAAACATATTACTACATAGACTTGACTGATCAAATGACCAAGTGAGATACTTAAGCAGAGAAAGGACAATGACCTCAATTGCCGTAGCACTTGCTAACTGGAACAAATCTGCATAAGTGATACCTGGGTATTTGTCCTTGATAGGTTGGATAAGCTTCAATGCATTAATCAGACCTGTGAAAATCAAGTCAAAATCTGCAAGTTACTACTGACCTAGAACGTATAAGAAATTTAGACTGTCAAGAAAATAGAAAATACCAGCATTGGCTCCATGACTCAACTCAGCATCGAACCTTAAGCTTCCATCAGCTCCACCTCGCTGTGGCCACTCCTCAATATTCTTGTCATAGGTACCAGAATCATGCCACCCCAGACAGACCTGAATAGAGTTGAAAGCATTCACTTATTGACACAACACAATATGACTACACAGACATGGTAAACTTGCTTCTGCGTATAATTGCAGAAGCACTGGTACATATAGTGACTAAACAATTCCGTGCAATGCTGCACGGAACTAATTTCCACTAATCAGCCCAGTAAAATGCAAGGGAAACAAGCACAATGGCAGGTGCACGCTAAGCAGATAGGGCAGGCGCACGCTGAGCAATAAAATGGATGTAGCAACCAGTGGCAATTACATATGAAAAATACAATTGAGGAATTGCTAAATTACTAAATCCCTTCATAGATAAAAAAAAATGTCTGGGTATAAAGTTTTCAGAGTACACTATTTGTCTGAAGAAATTTCAAATGTTAGGTTATGATAGTATTACAGAAATCTGTTGAAATTATCATGAAAAGAGAGGCCATCTTTCTTCTGCTAGCCTGCTACCTTACTCTGATTCACATGCCACTGGTCTTCAAAAAATTGCAACACAATGGATGCAGATATTTATACTAATGCATTCGTTGCTTTTATAATGTGTTCTGTTAATTCACAAGAGTACATGATCCAAAAGAATAGCAAATGCAGTTGTCGATCATCAGTCAGAGAGTAGTGAAAGCTCCTACAACTATTGCCTCGAAGGGAGAAGGTCCCAAACACTGAGTATTAACTGTACTATCACTGCACCATGGATCAGTGTTTAGTGCCACAACTGTACATGCTGAACAAAGAATGCTAAAAACAATTCAACGAAGCATATTTCATAAATGCAGTGAGAATAGAACCCAACTCTAGATCCAAATCTCCACATACCACACACCATAGTTTCAAGAAGAAATGGTGTAAAAACTCACATCAGTCCTTAGCTTGAATGGCCTAGTAATGGTGTTTTTTCTGCACTTTCCAGTTGTCCTGTTTCAGCATTTCAGCTACCTGCATTCAATCAATAGGTGAGATTTCAGTATTTCTTCAAGTACCTTCAGTATCTGTTAGATACAGATAACAACGGTGCTTTCAGTACCTTTCAAGTACTCTATTGGTCTATATGATCAAATGCAGAAGTGGTTACTGTTTGTAGCTTGTTGGTGTCAAGTAATTGAAGAAGCAAATGTTTGGCAAGCAGCCGCCTTTGTGTGAAGTAGCCACTTCTAATTCTGATTCTTGTCTCAAAAGTGCCATATAAAAAGAAAAAAAAATACAAAAAGCAGGTAGCTAGCAGCCCAACAATCCTAACTCACAACCAAAATATTTAAGCTATCATCATAATAAATTTCAAGGCGCAATTTCTTAAAGCTATGTTCATACTGAAAAAACTTTTTGGATACCACACAATAAACAATTCATGGTTGCTGATTATCATGTATTCCACTTTCGTAAACCTTTGAAGGAGAGCACACAAAAATAAAGGGGAAGCATGATGTTCATGTCATTCAGAAGGGGGAGGGTGGTTCCAACCTGAACACGAGCTTGCAGGGGCATGATCTCAAGGACACATCACGCCACAGATCCTAGCTGCTGGAGCCGTACTCGAGCCGGCCGCCGCTAGATGACACCGGTGCCGTCGTCGCAGGCCAAATCATCGATAGAGCGCGTGGAGCATGACAGGCTCGATGCCCCCATCCAGCAGGCCAGACCTCACGCTGCCTTTGGCCGGCCCTCGCCGTCCTAGGTCCGGATCAAGGCCGAGCACGTAGCTCTCCTCCGGTCGCTCTAGGCCCGGATCGAAGCCGAACAGCTGTCCTCAAGCCACCCTAGGCCCGGAACGAGGCCGAGCAGCTGTCCCCAGGGCACCCTTAGCCGGATCTGGGCCACGTGCGGGGATGCCATTGTCGGGGCTGCGCCCCTGAGCCAACGAGGACAGAAGAGGGGCCGAGGGGAGCCAGCGAAGTGGGAGGCGAGGCGGCAGTGGGTGGTGTCTGAGTGCGCGGGGCAGCGGCGGCGGTCTTGTGCGGCGGCGGCGGTAGTGGAGTTGGGCGGGCGGGCGCAGAGAGAGGCGGCGGCGTGATAAGAGCTAAGGGAGACTGAACGCAAATGTTAGGGTTTGCAGTATTTGGGCCAAGTCTTACCGTTAGTTAAGGCCTTTTTTTCGTTTTCAACTTCCCGCGATGGACCTTTCGTTTGTTTTCAGTTCCCGCGGACGGACAGGCCTATATAGCGACTAATAGTTCGTCCTTTTTATGGATTTGTCCCGACCGATCGTCTGATTGTACAGCTAAATATCTATACCGACCGATAGTTCAACGTAAAAGATACATTTACCGACACTTGATTTGTGGGCAAGCTATACCAACCGACGGTTAAACGGTATTAGTATATTTATAACGACACACGTGTGACGCTATATTAGTGTTGTGGTGTAGTGACTTCAGGGGAAAAATGCGGTGGAGACAGTTCTCATGGAGCAATTATAGCCACATACCGTGGATTTGCGACACGTGTCCATGCACATCCATCCAACAAATGAATCGGTTGCTTAAAATTAAGAATAATTAGAAAAAATTATATCCCTTTCATGTGTTGGATGTATGAGCATGTACATGTATTACAAATCCACGATGGGTGCCCATTTAGCTCCGTGAGGACTGCCTCCATCCATTTTTTCCCAACACATTGCCCATGATTTAGTATGCCGACAGTTGTCACCCATCGTACTAAGACGGCATAAGGTTTTGTTGGAGTGGGTCCAACTATTTCATCCAGTTCATCCGCCAAGGCTTATACGAAGCTGAAACGGAAGCCAAAAAGGAAAGATGCAACTAGCGCCCAGACGCCCGGCTTTAGGGGCGCGTCCGGACGCACCTAGTCCACATAACATTTGGATCCCGACCACGGCTCATACTCCTGCCACGCCTCCCACCACTCCCCACGGGACCACCTATCCGATGCGAATAGAACGAGCGCACCCCCGCGTCTGAAAACGAGCGCGCCTCCGCGTGCGGCCCGTCCATCGCTGCGCCGCCGTGCCTCGTCGCATTGCCATCCCCCGCCGTGCCACCATCCCCTGCACGCCTGTTTCCCTCCACGCCCCATCTCCACCGTGCTCTATCACCTTGCAACACGGAGCAATGCGGGATGCAAACATCAGAAGTATTACTTATTTGCAACATCATAATAAGTCTACTGCAACATCAGAACAAGGTGACTGCAACAATAGAACAAAGCTATTGCAATGCGAGATGCAAGATAAAAAAAAGAGACTAATGCAACAAAGAAATATTACTTGTTGCAACATCAGAACAAGGCTACTGCAACAACATAACAAAGCGCAATGCGAGAAAGCAACATCAGGAAAAAAAAGACTAATGCAACAAAAAAATATTACTTATTGCAACATCAGAACAAGGCTACTGCAATGCGAGATGCAACATGAGAAACAAAAAAGAGACTAATCAATAAAGAAATATTACTTGTTGCAACAACAAAACAAGGATACTGCAACAGAGCTCGCCAGAACCCTAGCCATCGTCGCGTCCCTCAGAACCAGAGGAGGAGGCTCAGATCCAAAAGAGGGGAGGAGCGCTCAGATCCAGAGGAGTAGGTGGAGGAGGAGGGCTTAGATCCAGACCTATCTCGCCAGAGTCGCCGCCGACACCCTCGTCTCTAGTGGGGTCGCATGGAGGTCGCGGAGGGAGGGAGGGAGCGGCGGCGGCAGCGACCTACGCGGGCGCGGCGTTTGTCCCGGGGAGGCACGGAGAACGGCGTGCGGCATGGAGGTCACTGAAGGGAGGGAGGGAGGGAGGAACGGTGGCAGCGACCTGCGCGGGCGCGACAGCGAGTGGGTGCGGAGAGCGGGGGGAAGAATGAGCGAGTGGACCGAGCAAGTGGGCGCAGGGGGTCACGGGGTGGATGGGAGCGGGGGGTCACAACCTCAGTCGAGTCGTTCCTGTGCGGGTCCGTCTGGACGGGATGGACGCCCGCACTGTATCATTATCGAAAAGGAACTGTTGTTCATTGTGGGTACATTCGTAACACGTCATGTGTTGGTTTGGACTCTCATTGGCATTGGTTTTGTCGTTGAAAGTCTTAATCAACCATCGGTCTTCTCTTGTTGGCAAAGGTGAAAGCTCCCAATTTTCTGTTAAGTGATATTTTGGTGTAACCAAGTACTAGTGTCAGACAGTTGTGGTTTGTTTTAGTTACGTTTGTCCACTTGCTAAAGCTTGTGAACGATGTTAATTATCGAAGTTGATTGACAATTGGCATCAAAGTCGTTATTACATGGCCTAGGAGTGTGGGCAATGACTTCGGCTCACCGGGTGGTTCAAGAGATTAGAGGTTCTCTACGTGTCATAGCCCATACTCATCAAGATCAACTACGTCAGTTGGTCATTCCTCATGAAGGACTGAAGGTCAACTTGTAGGTTGGTGATCTTTGGAAAGCGATCGATCCTGACCATGTAGACTTCCGTGTCGACCTAGGCGTTTGATGCGATCTGCGATGTTGCTCCTCCACAGATGATCTCCACTCTCGCACACAAGCTGTTGACACGCAAAAGTGTCCCGACATAGGAATTGGGTTATGCCATTGAGTTCCTAGCATCCAAGAGGGGTTAGAAAATATTTGGCGCAACAAACAATGAAGAAACAAGCAAAAAAAAAAGGAGTAATGAATATGATGGAGTTTTATTCCTCATTTAAGGTAATTATTAGTTCCAGGACTACAAATTTATTATCCTTTTTGCCTTAACATTGTTCATCGGTCATTATTAAATATGTTAAATTTGAGAATATATTGTTACTACATTTGTTTTCGCTTTGCAAGTGAAATTAGATAATGTATATATCTATCTATATACTATAAACAAACATATACATAACTTTGAGGGCCCATCATCGTAACGAGTTCCCCTTAGGGTCTAAAAAACTTAGGGCCGGCACTGTTTAAAATGTTATTGCATTGCACCTAGATGATACTGAAAAGAAGCTAACATCAATAGAGACGGTATATTATAACCTCTGTTTTAGAAAATCATAGCAGTTTCCAGCAGCCCATGCATCATATCGTGACATTCACTTAAATTAGCTAGTCTATTTAATTTGGTTCTTTTTACAAAGTCAAACCCCTTTATGTTCTGTAATAAGTTAGTAGTAGATGCTGCTGCTGCTGCTACTATTTGGAATATTAGTAATAAAATGGTGGATATGGATATGGATATGGATATGGATGTGAGAAGATACCGTGGTTGGATGTTGGGTTTGGTATTAGAACCGGACGTGGCTACGCCTTATATATCATGACCAAGGGAGTACTAGTTAGCATTGATTATATTTATTATTGGAGTCATATATAAGTCCAAGCATGAAAATAATGATGAATTCCGCGTACTGATCTGATGAACATGAAACCAACCATATTCATATGCATGACTCATTCAATTCAATTTTAAGTGGTGCTAGGTAGTACTCGCTTGCATTGAGAAGCTAGTGACCGCGTACTTGATCTGTGCCTCTGTGGCCATTACTGATGAAGAGATCACATGTATGGAAAATGATGGAGAGGGAAGCCGGCCAGGTTACGTATACGTGTGGGTGCAGTGACTAACTAGGGACGATCACATGCATGCACTGATATATGGCAAAAACGTACGTGTTCGGTCGTCTTAGCTAGGGTAACTTTATTTAATGTTTAGAACACAAACTAGTATTAAGATGCGTGGGATCCACGTTATAAATTAGTCTAGCTTAGCGAAATACTATTATATATGCTCTAACGTATAGCACGGTTTATATTAGCACCATGTACGTACAGGAACCCACCACCATAGAAACATTTAAAAATCTGTATTTGACTAGGGTGCATACGCACCCTAAAAAAAAAAATCAGTTATAGCACTTATTCACGGCACTTGTTTTTTCAACCGGAACAGTGTTTTTCTCTCACAACATTTCAGCCGGAAGAGTGTTTTCAGCCAAATTCAGCCAGCCGAACAGGGCCTATGGCAAGGCAAGTGCATCCCTCTTCAATTTCCTCTAACTTCGCCACCCGCATAGAATACATATAACAAAGAGAATCACCTCTCTTCGATCTCTTTCATATATGCCCAACAGCAATTAGCAATTAGTTGGTCTTGCAGGCTGCCAAATGGGTCCCATCACTTGCACCTTACCGGTTGCTTTCAGATATTTCTAGGTCTGGTTAAACTCAATCTAAATCTTAAACTTGACTAAGTTCATACGAAATAGTATGTGCCAATATATATGACCCAACAAAAATAAGTATACTATGAAAATATATTTTATGGCGAATATATATAATCATAATACTTATTTATATTATATGATAAATATTAATATTTTTTAAGAAATGATCAAATTTGTTAGCAATATTTTAGAATTGTATCTTTTTAGGACGGAGGAGCTGAGCTAGCTAGCTAGTAGAATTCATATTATTTGGCTTTGATCCATCAAGATGTCCCAAACCTAAATAAATTGATTTGGAAAACAAAAGGCCCCACTGAAGATAAAGATTTTTATGTGGTAAGGGGAGTTATCTTAACAAAAGACAACTTAGCAAAACGTAATTGGAAAGGCAGTGAAAAGTGTTGCTTTTGTCATAAGAATAAGAAAATTAAGCACGTATACCTTTTCTTTAATTTGAATGCTGATTTACACGGGTAATTTGGGATTGCATACAAGTTGCGTTGAGTCTCTCTCAGCCTCATAGTAGTATTCCATATCTCTTTGGGAGTTGGCTTCGAAGTTTTCAAAAGGATCTCAAACCTATAATTATGTTGGGTGCAGCAGCTACTTGTTAGTCGATTTGGTTATGCAGAAATGATTTAGTTTTTGAGAAAAAAAAACTTGTTTACTCTCCCTTGTAGGTAGTTTTTCGGTAATCCGTGGGCTGCGCACATGGGTTATCCTCCGGAACCCCTACGCACGGGCTTTGATGTTGAAGGCATTGCAACAATTGATGCTAGTGGCTACGGCACTTTTCTCCCAAGCATATGGGTGACGATCTAGTCTTAGAATTGATAGCCATTAGAGTGTCGGGCTTTCTCCTTTTAGGCTTTGTGTTTAGACAGAAGCCGAAAGTGAATTCTATCTTTTCAATGTAATAACGGTGAATTAATAAAATTCTTCTTTTATTAAAAAAAAGCTAGTAGAATTTAATATAGCTTATTACGAGGTTGCATGGTAGCTAAACGTTTAATTTGTTCCAATCCGTAGTGCAGTATGGCGTCGGCAATGCTAATCCAATTCCGATACAGTAAGTGACTCAGTGTGTATCAGATGACCAAGCTAGTTGCTCAAAATTGTAACACTCAGATCGCCGAGCTAGTTGCTCAGAATTGTAACACTCCCGCCTGACCGGAGTGATGAAGACTGTATGCATGTGCTGCAGTTAACAGGCACCGTAAGGCAATGCATGCAAAGTTAAGCATCCTCTTCTTGGACACGTTCACTACTGGAAACACCATTATTCCTGTGTGCCATGTAATTTTTTTTACGGACGTAAAACTACTCACAGAAAAATTCTATTTAACCTGTTGGTTCTCTTGGTGCATAGAAAAATATGAATAAAACGGTCGTTTTTTATGGAACAAAGAAAAAAATTGGCTCACAGGGTAATTAAATTAATATCCTTGTGTGCTTTATATTTTTTCTGTCGGATGACACACATGTTAATTGGCTTGTCCTTCGACGCCACGAAAGTTAGCTGCCCGGGCGTTTTGGCGCCGAAATAATTCATTGGCGCGTGTTTTGCCGCGAGTATTGGCGCTGCACTTTGGAAACCAAATAAAAAACCCCTTACCTTATCCTCCCAACCTCCCCTTCTCCCACACGCGCAGTTCAGCTTCCTCCACGCGCCTCTATTCTCTCGTAAAAAAAGGCGTCCCAACTGTGAGCCCGCCGCCCCCCCCTTCTCAACCGCCGCCGCCGCCCTTGCCCCATGACCCTCTCTCGCCACCACCCCCCCCACACTCTCCTCGGCTGCCGCCGGCCGCCTGTAGATGGAGTCGGAGGCCCCACGCCGGTGGCTTCTCCGTGTTCCGACTGATGGCTTGTGTGGCCGGTAGATGTTGGGCGCCGCCCACCTCCCCCTCCTGATCTCCCCACGCCATCAGTAACCGGCCGACGTCCGGTGTCTCCTTTGTCGAGCCTAACTCCTCCCTCTCCCCTGAAGATCCATCTTGCTAGGGAGGACGAGATTCACGGTTAAGACAACCTCAATCCAAGCTGTGAAGGCATTTGCTAGATCTAGATCTGTTTTTTTTGTTTCATTCATAGCACACATGATTAATGCAGGGAGTAACTTAGTGGTTTTTGGAGGAAAGGGATAGCAATGGTTCTGGAAGGGCAGAGAGAGCAGTGGTGCCATCTCGGGGCTTGTTTCATTGGTAGATTAGAGGGTTTGTAGTTTGATTCATTCATACATTGGGCTGGTTTTATGTGGATGTATGTTGAGCGGCAAATTGAAGGCATCTAACAAATGCACTACTAATTTAACATACAGCTAAATAGCTGTTATTAGAATTGGTGCTTCATTGTTGTCTTGATTAAGATAAGTGTTACTTTATTTTTTTTATCAATAACATGATAAGCATTATGAATAGAAATCCTAAAAATCAGTTGTTTCTACTATATGGTTAATGTTCATGGAGTAACTTTGGTGTTTCAGTATTAACTAGGGATGTTTTATGCACACAATAAATCTGTTTTATATTGATTAAAGAAATCACATTCCTAGTAGTTTATTTTTGAACTACTATACTTATTTGGATGTAGGATCTTTATGTAAAGGATCGGGAGGTTTCAGAAAATTGGGCCTCGTTACATGGAGGTTCCGTTTAAATTTGGTGGTCTTGGTTTTTTGTGAAAACAACTGTTATTTGGTGGTTTTGGTTTGATTTGAAACCAACTCTACAAGCATAAAAGGTGCCTTGCAACTCTACAAGCAAATGTAAGTACATTAACTTGATACTTGTACCTATGAAATCGGTATTAATTATGACAAAAAAACCAGTTGGTCTAAACCATTTTAAATAGACAACTGATATGTTTTGATGTCAGATTGACAACACGCAGTGCAGCAGTGAGGGAGTGGCCTCATGTTGATGGTTACTATAGTTTCTAACTTTCCATCTTAGTTTTAACCTCATGGTAAGCTGTACTTCTAGCTGTACTGAAACTTGCCACCTCCACTAAGGAATTTATAATTTAGTCCCATGGGAATCTGAAGGTTTGACATAGCTAGTAGATGATGAAATAGACTTTGAAATCTTGTGCATGTCTAAATAATTCTTTCAGCTCCAGAATTTCATGGAATGCCAATTCATTTTATTTCTCATCAGGGCCACTATTCACTTGTATATGCTTCATGTATGGTGCTCGTGTAAAAGTAAATCATGTATAAGACAATTAATTAATGTTTATCCATCCTAAAATCCAATTAATATTTACATAGTATTATCATTTTGCAGCTGCCCACTAGTTCATCCCATGTTGGTGAGGACTTGGATGGTGAGGACATGGATGGAGAGGACGAAGAGGACATGGATGGCAGCTACATGGAAGGAGAGGACACGGAAGATGACATGTATGAAGAGGACAAAGGGGACGAAGAGGACAGGGATGAAGAGGACATTGACGACAACAATGGGGGCAGCAATGTTGGATCATATATCGATGACTTCTGTGATTTGGGATATATATGGTAAGGTTGCTATTGGCAGATTGTCAAAGTGACTTTTGTCCATTGAGCAACATAAGCTGGTGGCTGTTTTTTGTCTTTTGAACATGTATGGCCATGGATGGTTAACTTAGTAGTAATTGAATGTTAGATGGACTTGGTTAAAACTAGGATGTCGTGGTAGGTGACATGGTTGTACATGTATAAATTAGGAGCAGCATATGGTGCTAGTAGTAGAATTTTAGATGTAATTTGTGAGGGTAGAACCTTTGGTATGTTGGCCTGTATTGAATGCTTTGTAAGCTTTTATGGAACTTCTAATATATATGCTTGATTATTGTGCTATGCATATAATGTGTTGTTTGGTGCATCTGGAACATAACATATAATTGTGATATTTTCCTGTCCTCTACTAATTTCTCTTGTGGTGATTTGAGAAAAAAAATTACGATTTTCTTTAGGGGAAACCATGAGGAAAATTAGGTTGAACTGACAGAAATTCAGTATTTCATTGATGGAAAACCGACAGAAAATAGCTTTCCATTCCACAGAATTATCTTTATTTCCGTGAGAGTTGACTGATAGAAAAATTACTAAAACCCACAAAGAAATTAGCAATATCCCTGACAGTAAGCCTATAAGAAAATCAATTAACCTGACGGTTGTCGACAACGTACTGGACCTACTGACGTTAAATTTTTTGATCGCGCATCCGTCAAAGAAATACCATCAGGAAAATATTTCTGTCGGGAGGCTCACATGTAAATTCTATTTCTATGTTAACCTATCTTTGATGGGATATGCCTGTCGGGCTCCTAAAAGAATTAATTTTTCTGACGGTTTTTTCCGCTTTCTTGATGTTTTTTGGCATACAGGAAAAATGATGTTTCCAGTAGTGGTTGCTTTCCAGATGACGTGTCCTTGTCTCGTACTTCTCCACAAGAACTGCATGCATGCGTGTACAAAGTCACTTATATGTATGCATATATGTAAATGAAAAACACAAGATAATAAACTCAACAACCCGATGCAAGCTACACTAGCTAGCTACTCCTTTAATTAGTTTGCAGGACAGACGGCATATAACATACTATTCCCAAGAGAGCCAATTGAACCGGTGATGTGCTCTTTACCTTAAATACGCTACGATGCTATCCTCGCCCCGTCGATGCTATCGTACTCGTACATCATTGATCATGTACGCTTGCTTATTGATCTCTCTCCTAGCTGGCCTCTACTCCTACTCTCTCTCTCTCTCTCTCTCTCTCTCTCTGCGCGTGTGCTAATAATCTTGCTTCACTGACGGGACGTAGCTTATCGTTCCTCATCTCTCTCTCTCTCTCTCTCTCTCTCTCTCTCTCTCTCTCTGTGTGTGTGTCTGCGCGTGTGCTAATAATCTTGCTTCACTGACGGGACGTAGCTTATCGTTCCTCATATATGCATGCTGGCTGGACTTGATCGAATTTTTCAAACTTCCATGATCCTCAGTGGCGAAGTTAGAGGAAATTGAAAGGAGGTGCACTTGCCTGGTGGGTGCATAGGCCCTATTCACGTGCTCTTAGATCTGGTTTGATCCGCTTCTTTTTTCATCGGAACAGTGTTTTTTCTAACAAATTCCTCTAGATTCATCCAGATTCCTCCAAGCGAACGGGGCCATAAACTTTTATTATGGAGGGTGCATGTATGGTGAAAATTTGGTCATTATAACTGATTTTTGAAAATTTTAGGGTCACAATACATGATCCTCCATGCATGCATGTAACACCCGGTTTTAAAACAAAACCAGATTTGTCATATATGTGTCCAGAAAGTCCACGCATACAACAACAGAATAGATGATATCAGAAATAATGTTATATAGCGGAAACATAGTTATAATTAGCACTTACATCAGAATATAGCGGGACAATTACTAATCTTTTCTTCGGGCTCCAACTTCACAGGGGACGGCTGACTGAGGGTAACATACGCCTAGCACTCCTCAGAAACTTAAGCAAGCTCCACCTTCTGTTACCTATCTAGGATTTTTATCCAAGTAATTAAAAAGTAAAGCAAGCGTAAACAAACCACTGCTTAACAAGCATAATATGAGGGGATGTAGGCTCAAAAGGTTTGACACGGCTGAACTGCGATAAGCAATTTTAATAGATCAAGCTTTATCACTAGAATCTAAGTTGCTAAATTATGCTTAAGCTCCAGTTTCCACATGATCATAAACAATGGCAATAGGACAATAATGATTAAACATGAGCGTCAACATCATAGTAAACTAAGAACACATAGTTCTGTGAGTTTTCCAAGCCGCTTGTGACCGTGAGCACGCCTGTTATAACAGTTTTTAACACTCTACAGAGGTTGTACATCTTTACCCATGAGCCGTGATTTACCCTTTCGCCCGAGGTGATCAGCCTCTTGACCCACTACTAAGGAAGGTTGGCAGGGTTCACTATGAAATCTTTCAAAGGTTCGTCTAACAAGTTAGTAGCCGCTATAGGTTTCCAATCGACAAGAGCACCCTTCCGAATGGCACATTTCGCGCACGCTATACACATAGGGACAGAGGCCGCACTATACTCAGCTCGGCAAGCCCCCCTTTATGCCCTTTCGGGTAACCACTAACAAGCTAGAAAATGTTCTTCTACTGAACCAAAGCCAGAGCCATATAGCACTCATGGTTGTACTGTAAATCCCTGATTTTGCTGACAGATAAGTCCTTATGATTCCATGTTGCTAAAAAGCATATTTTAAACATCATTGCATATGCCATTAGCCAATATCATGGAGCTTTCATCATTAACTAGAGCAACTAGCAAAACTACCCATATGCATAAAACTAGTAGGTAACAAGGAATAGGGTAACAAAAGTATACTAGGTAAGGTCCTTAATGTTTCGTCATATTGGACACATGCACATGAAAAGATGATTATAATGTTATTAGGTAACAAGGAGCCTCATATTATACTTGCCTTAACACTTGCTCAAACTTCCTCATACTTTGCTTTTGGGCATCACCTTCTGATCTTCAATGCTAACTAACGGTTCTCGTTCTACTTATAGCAAACACCAAGCACAAGAAACATACAAGCAGACAGAGAAAGGATAACTAAGAACAATACACCATATGAGAGAAAACAATATACTAAAAAAAGCTAGTGCTAAGAGATCACAAGAACGCTAAAGACAATGTTATCATTAAAAAGAAATGACTAACATGAGCTTTATATTATGAAAGAAAAGGAACAACTACAAGCTTGATTTATTTTAGTTAAATAAATTCATGAGAAACTACCCATTCAGATTAGTCAAATTATATTTTTATTTTAGAAAGGTCGAGTTAAACTAATCATATTTTAAATATAAACATGCATGTATCATTTAATCAAAGTAAACTTTAACTTTTCAAAATAAAAAACATGTGAGAACATCTATTCAAATTATACATGATGCGTGTTGGAGCTGATATCATTTTATTCATACATAATTGGATATCATTTATGCCGGTTAAACTTTAACTTGCAAAACAATATAACATGTGAGCACTAAAATGAGTTTATGATATATATCGTGCTTGAGCTAAGCAAATTATAATTAAAAACATATTCAAGTTGGTATTACCTAAGTGTTGGGTTCATAAACCCAGGGTCCCTAATGTGACTGCTTCCCAGCAAAATGCTCGGCCCAGCAGACGACGTTGCGGACGACGCGTAACTCCTGGGCCGGCCCAAATACCTAACGATAGGTCGGAAGAGTGATCCAGTCTCCAACCGGAAGGCCTCCGACTCCGACCCATATCTCTCGACCAGAGGGCCTGGCCAAGGAGGGGCGACGCTCGCTTCCGACTCCGACCCGCCTCTCCAACCGGAGGGCCTGGCTAAGGAGGGTGACGCTCGCTTCTGACTCCGAGCCACCTCTCCAACCGGGAACACACCAAACCTCTTCCTGCGGCTCTTCTCCGACCGGCGTGGTCGGAGCCGACTGGGAACGACCGAACGGGGACGCCCGCTCGGTTAGGACTCGAGAAATCAGGCGGTGCAGATAAGGTAAGGCGCATAAGTCAAACCGCAATACCAAGGACTGTACCCTGCACACCTACAGGATAGTATTGTCAGGCCATGTTGGAAGGGTACTTTGCAACCTTCTAGACATGGCAGGATACGTACAATGTTGTGGGTGCCGACATTTGTCCTACAGTATGGTAGGCGCCGACATTTGCCATACCAGAAGAACACAATAGAACCAACCACATGCATCAGGGCATCAACAGTATTATAGGCGCCGACAAACCGTCTCATACCCGATGGCATGGGCATCAAGACTAGGTAGCACACACTCCCTCTCTCTCACTTGTAAGGTCGTCCCCTTCATCTATAAAAGGAGATGCGCCCTCTCCTAAAACAAGGATCGATCCGACGAACAACAGATAACACACGGATCATTCTGACTCACTCTTTGCTAGCTTTAGACACTCTAAAGCTACACAGAGCATACGTTCCAATACTTAGCGCATGTAGGAGCTCCCATCACTCTCGGCCCTTCGGTCCAGAGTCTGACTAGACCTCTAATACCCCCATTTTATTCCCACTCGTTTGTAACCCCACAGCAAACTTCGAGCACCTGGGCTCAAGAATAAAGTCATCGACCGACTCAAACTAGACATAGGGCACGTTGCCTGAACCAGTATAAAACCCTGTGTCATTGAGTGCTAGGCCACATCCGATCATAATGTATGGCAAAATGACAAATATTTACTAGTTGGTCACTTTTCGCACCGACAATTGGCGCCGTCCGTGGGGAGGACGCCATACGTTCACGCTTTTGGTCATCGAATGGCCCACCTTTCCACCATCTTCGGCATGGCGGGCTCAAGCGATACGACTCGCTTTGGCTCACTGGAGTTTCCTGCACTCCCACCTGTTGGGACATGGGTTCCTCCTATCTTAGAGCCATCCTAGACCTTCCTCATCAGAAGCCTGGACTTTATCGCCGACCGGCTCGGCGTGCTTTGCCTTCGCGAGGAGGCACTTGTT